AATTAAACGGAGCACTTCAAAAATGTAAACTCTCAGCACCAGGAAATTATCAGATTTGTTACATAATGATTAAACACCTCAGTGAAGCATCAAAAGATATTATTTTAGAATTATTCAATAGAGTCTGGCAAGAAGGAAAAATACCACAGTCTTGGAAAGAAGCAGTAATCATCCCAATACGAAAACCAGGAAAAGATCACACCAAACCAGAGAACTACAGACCGATAGCTTTAACATCTAACATCTGAAAAATTATGGAGAAAATGATAAATGAAAGAATAACATATTATGTAGAAAAAAAAAGGTTATATGTCCAAATATCAAAGTGGTTTTAGAAAAGGAAGAAACACGATGGATCCAGTCTTGTGTCTGGAGCATGAAATCAGGAAAGCCCAGATTAATAAAGAAAGTGTGGTAGCTGTATTTTTTGACGTAGAGAAAGCGTATGACATGATGTGGAGAGAGGGATTACTTATAAAAATGAAAAAAATGGGAATCACAGGACGAATGTTTAAATGGATTAAAAATTTTCTATCAGACAGACAAATACAGGTGAGAATAGGACAAGATTATTCTGACAAATACTACATAGAAAATGGGACACCACAGGGAAGCATAGTTAGCCCTTTGTTATTCTCTATAATGATCAACGACATGTTTGATGGTGTAGAAATAGGAATGGGAAGGTCTTTATTTGCAGATGATGGGGCTTTGTGGAAGAGAGGCAAAAATCTACAGTTTATTATAAAAAAGGTACAGGAAGCAATAACAACAGTTGAAAAATGGTCAAATAGATGGGGATTAAAATTTTCAGTAGAAAAGACAAAATCAATAATTTTCACAAGAAAAAAAACACCTAATAATAATGAACTCAAGTTGTACGGGAAAGTAATTGAAAGAGAAAAACAGTTTAAATTTCTGGGCATCTGGTTTGATGAGAGGCTAACATGGACAGTGCACATTCAAAAAGTAACTGACAAATGGAAAAAGATTCTAAACATCATGAGGTGTTTGACAGGGAAAGACTGACAGGAAAGCACAAAGGACCATCTACACAGGATTAATCAGATCAATAATAGACTATGGGAGTATCGTTTATAGTTCAGCTTCAGAAACAAATTTAGAAAAGTTAAACAGTATTCAATATCAGGCATTAAGGATTATTACCGGGGCATTCAAAACAACACATACAGGATCAATATTAGTAGAAATGGGAGAACCACCACTGAACATCAGAAGAGAACAATTAGCATTAAATTACTGGGCAAATCTGAAAGGACACGAACAAAACCATCCAACACAAGAAATATTAAAACCTTGCTGGGAGAAAGAAAAGAAACACATAAAAAACTTTGGATGGACCATAAATCAAAAGTCAGCAGAAAGTCAAATAGATGATCTTAACGTCAGCCCAACAGTTCCACTTCCAAACATACATCCATGGTTATTCACAGACACAACAGTTGATTTAAAAATATTAGAACAAAATAGAAATGGATTGATTTCAAATACAGTTATCGAACACATCAATAAATATTATGGATATGTAAAAATATATACAGATGCTTCAAAAAATACAGCAGGGCAAATAGGGGCAGCATTTATTGTACCAGAGTTTGGAGTTAAAGTAGGGAAGAGATTAAACAACAAATTATCAGTATACACCGGAGAAATGGTCGCAATATTACTGGCAGTTCAATGGATAGAAGATAATCAACCACTCAGATCAGTCATATGTTCAGATTCCAGTTCATCAGTAATTAGTATAAAAAACAGTTGTTCAGAAAGCAGACCAGACATATTGACAGAAATACAGCAAACATTATTCAAAATTAGTATGATGGGGTTAACGGTTACATTTTTATGGATTCCAGCTCACATAGGGATAAGAGGAAATGAAATGGCAGATAAAGCTGCAAAGGAGGCCACCAAACACAACTCAGTGGAAATAGAGGTAAAATTCAGTCGGGCAGAAATAAAAAGCATCACAAAACAGAGAATGAGGGAAAAATGGCAAAAGCAATGGGAAGAAGAAAGAAAAGGTCGATGGTTCTACATAATTCAACGAAAAGTTGGAGAAATGAGAAGAGCTGAAAGAAACAGAAGGGAAGAAACTGTCATCTCAAGACTCAGATTTGGACACACAGGATTGAACAGGACATTATTCATCATAGGGAAACATAACACGGGAAAATGTGA